TGTTAGTATCAGGTCTGGCAGCGCCCCTCGCCTTGTTGGCTCATCAACCACCTGCATCAAGAAGTTATCTGCAATGTTCTGCAGGAACCTCCTGGACTGTCTGCTCCTAGCTGTGTGATTATCCCAGCAGACATCAGGGTGGTTGAAGTCCCCCATAAGGGCCAGGGCCTGGGATTGTGAGGCTTCTTGCAGCTGCCTGTAGAAGGCCTCATCCACTTCCTCTTGCAAAAGCCATCCACCAAACCCAAGCCCCCCCGCCCAAAAAAAAAAAAAAAACTCAAAACCAAAAAAACACCTCCACAACATCAATAACCTATGCCCACACCAAGGAAGGATGAACAGATGAACAGAAACTCTACCTGTCCTAATCGTAAATGTAAATCTGTGCACTAAGGTTTATGAACATTTTGCTTAGCAAGTAGAACATTGTTCTATACAAACAGAAGTTTTAAGTAAGCATTAGTTCTGGCAAATAGCTCACCAACCAATACAAGGAGTACAGCATCACTGTTCAAGCATGACATAGCTAATATAATCTCCATTAATACAACGCTCTTGAATTCTCTAAATTATACAAGACTGAAGAAACAGATTCCACATTGAGAAATTTCAAGTTACAACAGGTTGTATTAATTATATTACTTTGAATGAAATCCAGGAGATGATTAAAAGAAATCCCTAAGTCAGGTAGGCTCCAAACCTGACAAATGACCTGCCAGTTTTCAGAAGTGCTCTCTTATTACAACTACCTCCACATTTATACAAGGTATATAATTATTCTGCACCTATATAAATCCTGTTATGCTTAAGGTAAGGTAACAATAACTTTCCTTCAAGAAAAACAGAAATGGGAACCATACACTTTTTATTTCCTCTAATTCTTTATTGCAAGTAAAGTTCGTGCCAACACGCTTGTCGACATATTGTAGAAACCGGTCCTTAAAGTTCATGCACAAAACCAGTTCATGTACAAGAAGGCTAGTTGCTGCCTTCCTTTCCACACATAAAGACTAACTAGACAAAAGTCTATTTGCTGCCTTTCTTTCCATATATAAGGAATCTGCTGAGTGTGATTTAATAGCAAATATAGTCTTTATTCTGAAACTTGATTCAAAGATAACATCTGATAGCATTTCCTACAGCTTTTAGATCTGCAACCCTAAAGTGTTCTACCTGCATGCTATTCTGTAGTCATTAGTCCACTCTGTTGAAATCCAACAGCAACAATAACAAACATTATAATATCCACGATATCCATCCCTTGCCCTATATTGATGCCCATCATCCTTGATTGTTTACTAGAGAAGTAATAATACCTGAGGTTTTAGTTCTAAAAAGAAAAAAAATCATCCCAAGACATACACACACCTGCACACATTTTAGGCCTTTTTGTAGTGGACAACTTTGGAGGCTTTGAGCAGTCATAAATGGTATGACTATTTCTATAGTCATTTCTATTTACTATAACTTTTTTTTTTCAGTTAAAACAAGCACCAACAGTTAAAAGAACTATGTATGAGACAATATCACCAGAACCTCTCTCCCTCGAATACCCAACATTAACTTTTTTTGTCTATCTGGCATTGCTGCATATTGCAGTCTTACCCTTCTGAACTGAGTCATCCTATATATGAACATGGCAAAATTCAATCTTTACTCATCACAACTATTAGCAGTATAAATACCTGGAGAGCATTTTTCCCCCTGAACAAAATTATTTAACTGGCTATAAATAATAGTAATAATAATAATAAGCAACACATCACACAGCACTACTGATGGCCCTTGCAAATCTGGCTTAGAGACAGAAAGGCCTCAAATAAAAAACCACAAAGTTCTTAAAAAAGCATCTTTGGATAGCCACAGTTACTTTAAGGATTAAAGGTGGGCATCTTTCAAGCAAGTCTTGTTCTGTTTAGCCTAGAACCATGATGGTTAATAAACCATACTTAGGAAAGACCAGAACACCTTTGAGTCTCAGAACAGGTAGACCAATTACCTCCCCTACTCCTCCATGTGAGGTCCTTTGCAGGCTCTAGCAAGAGATTATCTTCCCCCAGAATTATTCAAAAAGTGAAAATTGCTTAAAGGCCAGAATAAAGAAGTTTGAAATCACAAGTCTTTTCTCCACAGCATGTTAAGATCCAAATAATCTGCTTCAAGTGTTCAGACTTTTATAGGAACCTAAAACAAAAAGAATGAGACAACAGTTCCCTGAATGTCCTTCTATAATCATACATTCCTTAGGTGTCTACAGCATCTGCACAATTACGGGTATAACCTCCACTGCTGGAAAAATACCCAAACTTATTGCTTGAGAATTTTACCTAGAATTGCTAATATACGTTACAATTGCATTAGGGAAGACATCTTTAAAAATAAATACAAAACATACCCCCCACCATAAAGGGAAATTTAAAAACAGAGCTACAGACACTTCTAAAATAAAAGTAGTCTGAACAATAAGCAATACAAGCATTGTTTCTAATAATATCAAAATCCAAAATATTTTACTTATTCTTTACATAGCAAATTCACCTCACACTTTGGAAAAATGTCAGAACTTCTGGCACAAGCAACAATCACATCTAGATATAAAATCCTGAGATAAAAATGCTTACCAACAAAAAAACAGAAGCAAAACAATTCTTCCAGTACTCAATTATATGGTGTATAACTGCTCTGCACTGTTTATTACTATTGAAATCATCAGGGAAAAAAAAAATCAAGTGGTGAAGTAAAGGGAAACAGAAAGTGCCACTTTATAAAAATCAGCATATTTAAATGTTATTTGTCTTCTACAAGAGCATAACCGAGGATCCAAGGCCCAGCTGTGCAATCTTGACTCAGACTGCTGAGAGAGAGCTGGGAGAAAGTTTGTAGAGACAAAGTTGAAATTACAGAGGCAGGATCATTGAAATGGAGATGGCTAGCAACTCAAGGCATCAAGAATGAACACACCAGCATGGAAAGGTATAAAACCTCAAAGAAAAAAAAAGAAAACAAGATGTCAATTCAGTCAGTTAATCGGGTCATCAGTGTCATCAAATTTGGTGGATAATTCCAACTCAGTACCACTGAGGATATGTTCCAGGGAGCTGTGGATGCTGCCCCTTCCCCTCCTGACTGACACCTGACTGATCAGCAAAGACTCTTTGAGTGTCTTAGGGGCAGTGCGTATACTAATGCTTAGGCTAGCAGCTTGTTAAATCCTAGCTATCCTTCCATCTGCATGTTAGGAAATAAATAATTGCTTTATATTTTTAAGCTGTATATATCCTCCTTGCAGAGTCCCTTTGCGTGTGGCTAAAAATGTCTGAAAACTGATCTGAAATTGGGGTCATAACAAGGGAGTGGACATTGTCAAATCCATTTTTTTTTTTCAACAAAATTTAATAACTTATCTTTGGGGAAAGGAAAGAGAGGAAATAGGGCTATTTTCACTATAAAAAGTAAATATATTCGAACTCTAATAACACAGATTGGAATTTCAACAGCATCCACATATGTAGCTTTTTCTATCAACAGGCTTTTCCTGAAAGGAAGTTGTGATAATGCTTTAAAATCTAAGGTAACAAATCTCAAGGATGATATAAACAACTTCAACAAAAAGATTATTAGCTTATCTATAATTTCTTCTGCTTCAAGTAAGTTAAAATATCGAACACTGACACCTCAGATAAACAACTGTCAACAGAAGTATTTCATGAGGCATGTTCTTAATTATGCCATCTTTTTTAATGCTGGTGGTAGAGGGAAACAGAAGTAACAATTCTAATAGAAGAACAAATTCTGATATGTTGATGCACAAAAATACTAGACTACAAAAGCTTAAAACAAAATAACACCCACAGATCATCCAACAGATGAGCTGTATACCTTTCCCATCTCACAGCTAGAATACGCTGGCAAACCTATGTTCTTATAGGACACTGTGAGCCTGATTGGCAGCTAGGCAACTGGTTATGAGGGAAAAGAGACTGCTAAACAGAATAACCATAAAAATACACTAAATATTACCTAACATACAGTAAATAAGCACCAAAAAGGGGCAGCCTAATTATCAGAACAACTAAACAGTGCTCCCCCACCCAAGTGACCAATCTCGTTATATAAAGATACCTGTAAAACAGAAAAATTCTGGTGAGTCAATTTATTTTCACAAAATGTTATTTGGATTTTCGTCTGTTTTTTGTTTTGTTTTTAAGAGCTAAATACATTTTTCCACTGTTAAGATACAAGCAACAAATGAACAAAAATTGTCAGACTAATTTAACACCACCATTAAAAATCTCAATGATTCTTTGCTCTATTCACCCTACCGAGAGAAAATAACTGAATTTATACTAACATTGATTGGAAGACACCTATGGAGAGCAGAATAAATCGCCTTAATCCAGGAGGAAACAGTCAGTGACCTGCTACTGCACTTGGACACTCACAAGTCTTTGGGGCCTGATGGGATCCCCCCAAGGGTTCTGAGGGAGCTGGCGGAAGTGCTCAACAAGCCGCGCTCTGTCATCTATCAGCAGTCCTGGTCAACAGGGGAGGCCCCAGACGACTGGAGACTTGCCAGTGTGACACCCATCTACGAGAAGGGTTGGATGGAGGATCCAGGGAACTACAGGCCTGTCAGCCTGAGCCTAAGGGAGAAGGTTATGGAGCAGATCATCTTGAGGGCGATCACATATCATGTGCGGGACAACCAGGGGATCAGGCCCTGCCAACATGGCTTCATGAAACGCAGGTCCTGCCTGACCAACCTGAGCTCCTTCTATGACCGTGTGACCCGCCTAGTGGATGAGGGAAAGGCTGTGGAT